CCAGCTTCCATCTGAGCTCACTTTCCTTAACCTCTTCCCTCTTCCTCCGTGTCTCCAGGCTCGAGTAAAACCCAGCTGCGGGCGACTGGTGGGCTTCTCCTCAGGTCCCGTAAATCCACATGGTGTTACTGGATTGACCAGGGGCCGGCGGTGCGCGCTGGCCCTCTGGTTCACAAAAGAGAAGATATACAGGGACATGGTGAGCATTATGACGGCACACAGCAGTGACCTCGCCCTCAGGCCGGACCTGCCGCCTGCAGTCACATGATTGTTAATGTCGTGACACCGGTGTTGGATAACAAGACCAGCTGGAGTGCAATGCAAATCTGGTGGTTGTTTTCATGTTTGAGCATTTACAATGGCCGGCCTTAGATCATACCACGTCAGTGTCCTTTAGAGTCATCATATATTTGTACAAATCTTTTAATAGTTACTGTAGCTTATCCAGTTCAGCATTTAGCATCATGCAGACTGTCTTAACTCCTCCTACACTTGACACTGTGTAAGTTTTTAAAGGAAGAAACAACACATTCTTCTTCTTGAAAATGGCAAGTTGAATTCATAAGCAATGAAACACACCCTAGCTTACGGGGTCTCGTGTCATCAGTGGGTTATGCCGGGTTAGCTAAGTTTACGCAGATACTACTGTGTAACTGATATTGCTTTATTAGTTACTTTATATTTTAATATTTACCGTTATTGAGTTGTCGCTGGTACAGCCACGGCTACATGGACTCACTTTAATAGAGGAGAACCACTTTGTGCTGGCTGAGCCTCCTCACTAATATCACTTACCACAGAAGAAGAAAAAACAAGAACTATTTAAATAACTGGTTTCAGAATATTTATCCAGAATGAACAAGGACCTTAATTAACATGACTCTAAAAAGGGAATACATGTAATCAGTTGTCACCAGTCTGATCTGTCATTGCTATGCTTTTGTTTGTCTCCCTCAGGAGCGAGAGGAGGCCGAGGCCATGTGGGCTGCAGGTGGACAGAATGTGGCAAAAAAGGACAAGGAGGAGCCGGACGGCGGCGCCACCCCTGCCAGGAACGCTCGGAATCAAGCACCGACGGAGAGGAGCAGAGGGAGAGGCAGAGTGACGGGGGGCAAAGATGAACTGTGAGAGCCAGAACAAACCTGACAGACTGAACCTCACAGAACTGGAATACATTTTCATCTGCATCCACCATCCCACAACAGGACCATTACACCAACCATGAACACATGTTTTTCCGTTTTTAGCCACAGAGTCACTCTCTTCATGCTGCCTTTTTATGTAAAGCCGCTTGCTTGCTTGTATATACTGTATTTATACTGTATATGATGGAGACAAGTGAGGGAAACATGGTCCTTTCCTTCCTCTAAAGTCAATCTGTACTTTTGTTTTTAGCAGCTTACTGACTGAAATCACTCCCTTTAATAAAAATGAAGAGAATAAAAGAAGAAATAAAAATGTCGCTTGAGTACTATATATACCACATCCACACAAGTGAGGGACTAAAAGAGCATTTGGGACAGAAAAAGTTCAAGGTAATCGATTAAGAGATTACCTCACACCCACTGTGGCTGCCTGCTGATTAAAATTAAAACCGGAAGGTTAATACTTTTCTCAGTCTGTTCCTGTCTGTTAAGAGTAGAAACATGTCACAAAATATGCTACTAGACATCACGACAGTAAGAAACTGTAAAAGAAGTTACATTAGCGCAGTACATAAGAAACTACAGTCCGAAGCAGTAAGAGGGAGAAAAGGGAACAGAGAAAGAGAGAGAGAGAGAGAGAGAGGTGCACAGGAGGGGAAAAGGATAGAAATAGAGAGATTACCGTTAATCTCTCATAAATGAGTGCATTTGTTTATGAAGCTTAAAAAATCTCCCATTTAGAATATGGAATAGTAATCCAGCGAGAGATCATTTAATCATTCACGTCCAGCAGAGTGACATTCGACCACCCACTTCCAACTTTTCTGTCCCATTACAACCAGTGCCTCCTTTTCAGCCCACTCGGCTTTCGTCTAGTGCATCAGACACTGAGACAACTACTGTTTATGGGCCATATTAACACTCTCACTCCCCCCTGTGTTATAATCCCCCGCCGCTGCAGAATTGGGTCAGCAGGCCTGGTTTTAACCTTTTCCCTCCTTCACACGCTGAAACCATGTCGCACCCTAAAAGTGTGCATTAATCTTCTCTTAAGTAGGTGTTATGTCCATATAATGCATCCTAGATATCCTCACTAAACACCCTGGTCGTCTACTGTTCTAATTACACACTTGGCAAAAGAGCATAAAATTTGTATTTCCATATTTTATGTGATTAGCAGAAAGTATGTAAGGCCTAACAGTTTAGCTATAAAACTGAAATCAAAGCATCCTATAGTCATAACTGGTTGATGTGTGTAGTGAGTAGTTGACATGACCACTCGTCGCTTATGTTGCGCTTCCACACATTAACTCTCCTAATAATTGTGGCCCACACATATCATTAGATACAAACATAACATGAGAACTAATAGGAGGATTAACATTTATGATTCTCCATTCATGTCACAATAGTTGTTTGTGACATTTAATCCATTCACCCCTCCCCTCTCCACCCACTCACCCCCCATTTATTGAAAACACGGTTAAAGGTTCAGTGACCCTTGCTGGTCTTTATAGACTTAAAAAAAATCTGCTTCCCTAGCAATGAGTTGGTATTTGTACAAACTTCGTGTGACTTTAAATGACACAAAAACTAAAGCAATGTCAGTTATAACGCAAGCTACAAGCACTCGAAGTATTGTTTGAGTCACTTCCCTCGAGCAGGAGGCTGCGGTCCAAAACCTCACGCCACAAAAACAGTTTCTTCCTGTCAGCAGTCAGGCTCATCTAGGCCCACTGACTCTGTCTCTTACATCCTCAGGACAAATACATACATTCACACGTCCCTGCACAACTCTTCACTTTAAATAGACACACAACACTTTAATAACAGACGTATTTTCACATACTCTTACATTGTTTGTTTATTTTTCATATCCTATTGTACATTTTCTTATTTTTTTTATCTTTGATCATGTATTATACTATTGGACTGTGTGTATTGTCCTGCACCAATCACCAAGTCGTATGTACACATGTATACGTGTACAACATTTTATAGTAAGTAACGACACTGGTCTTTAAATAGAAACCCAAAATCTCCCTCCCTCTCTCTCTCTCTCTCTCTCTCTCTCTCTCTCTCTGTCTTTTTCCTGGTCAGTGTCAGTGCGATGCCTAACAAATCCTTTTTTTCCCTCCTTTTGGTGTTCTAACATTTTTACGCTCCGTCTCACAGCCTGCAACTCAATTTCTCCAAATCTAGAGTCACATCCGCCAAAACGACCAGTCTGCTTATGCCGTCACTGTGCTTGAGTGAGCAAAGCTGGATACTTTTAAACTACAAAGATGAATTTATTCACACTGAAAAATATAATAAACACAGGATTCAGGAAACACACACACACACATAACAGAAGCCGGCAGAAGGAGTCCATACTGTGTAAGAGTCGCAGTGATGCTTTTTTATTCATCTGAATCTTTTTCCTTCAGGGTTTGCACAGGAAGTAATAATGTGATATTTGATCCTAATAGGAATCTTTCCGTTACTTTTGCCCCCTTCCTACAGGGCGGTCACAGCTCACGATCACCTCTAGCAGCATCCCGGGTACTGGTGAGAATTCAGACCCTGTTTCATTTAAATGTGTTTTCATTGTCTTTCTGCACAGCAACTAGCACCGAGGCTGGAGGCATAAATACCTCCAGCGTGCTAAAGAAGTACAAATATCAGCAATATGCGAAATAAAACATGTCTTACTAATAATTAAAAAAAACTTCATTTATTGCTGGATGTGCAAGTTGATCAACATTATTCATTGCTTGTTTCACCATGTTTGTCTACAGCACACCACTACTATTTATTCTAGACACAATGTGCATTACTTTACTGAGTAAGTAAACATAGTTGCGGACTTGTTCTCCTGACTGTTAAAGGATCAATGTGAAAACGGATGACGTCTTTTAAAAAAAGCATGATTCCAATGAAAGACAAGTTAAATGTATCAATAACTTACTCAACACCACTTCAGTAGCTGATCAAAGGGCTTTATGGGGCCTTTTGGGAGAAATGTGGTCACCGTATACTAACAGAGCACCCTCCTGCCTGAAAGTGCTATCTCGTCATAGTGAGCACAAGCTGTGCTATTTTAACTAGCACAGGTGATTTACTGTTAGATAATGTGTAACAGCTGTGGGTTGCACACTCTCTAACGAGCAAGGGCGAAAATTAAAAGAGGAACCTTCAAGTTTAGGTATTTGTTTTGCATTTAGGTCCCACCAGAGCAGAACTTGAGCTAATCAGGGGGGCCAAGCAGGGGGCCCAGTGGGTGTGTCATTAGGTCAAACATGACAAAGAAAGAAAACACACAAACAACAAGGAGGACAGACACCGTACTGCGTTAGCTAGTTTTAGTAGCACATATCCTGTACACTGTAAGTATGTCCCTGCCTGGTGGTGCTGTTTGCGTGGTAAGATGGATGCTGCAGTTGGTCTCCATATCACCACTCTGCCCTGTCTGATCTCTGCACTGCCCTCTATGCACATACGCTTTCTAAAATTAGCTTCACCTCAGGTTTACAAAACACAAACCCTCCTGCCAGTCATAGATCTTTCAAAGTCTAACTCAGCACCATAAAAAGCCATGTTCCCAGGTCCTCTATTTATCTTCCTACCCCCCTCCCCTCCACGATTTCCATCTCTTAGTTTTTGATTCAGATTCACCCCAGCTTATGTCTCATGACCCCATATCCAAGCTCTGCACCTTGTTTGGTTTCCCCCACTGTCTCCTCTCGCTTTCTGTCTCTTTTTACCCCCCCCCCCCCCCCCCCCCACCCCTCTTTCTGTCCATCCCAGGGTTTATCCCCTCATCACTGATCTCCCTTCATCCCTCCAATCCTCATCTGTTCCTCATAGGAGCAGTGGAGAGAGTGAGTGACGGAGGAATATCCCACTGTCTGTGATACCAAAAGTGAATGAGCGGGAGAAAGTGTAGTAACAAGCAGGCTGAACTTATGACAACGACCAGAGGGAGACCACTGGAGGAATAGTGATTGAACATCTACCAAATTACTTTGAGTGGAGTCTCCTAATTGGTGAGTGGATGGTCTCATGTTGGTGTTCACGTTTTTTTGTTCTTGCTAGTTGTGAAGTTGTGTCATGACGTTCAGATGGTGATGGTGATGAATATCCTTAAACTTGTAAAAATGAAAGGGCAGCACACTTACAATATCATACACATGTGATCTTACACTGTACCATGTAGGACATGCTAGATATCAAATACGGACATGCCATTCAAAATAATGTCACGACACACATTCAATGCACTTATATGTGTTTTATCTTGTGTTGATGACGCACACAGAGCAGAGGGATTTATATGGGATCAGCAAACAATAATGGTTTTGACTTGTAGATTGATAATCTGACAAAAAAAAACAACGTTTTGTTGTCTAATTCTTAATACCCTCAGATATAATCTGCATGATAAAACTATGTTAGGTTGTTTGTGTGGCTGTCCCATGCAGGGTCTAAAATTTGCGGGGTGTAAAATTTTTTAAACTGACTGACTACACAAGAAAAAGGCTTGTTAGTTTAGACCAGATTTACCAATATTGACCAAACCACATTTACCAAAATCCTCTATTTTGTTATTTGTAATTTTATATGGATATATGTTAAGTTTCAAAAAACTGATAATGAAATAGCCAAAATTTGAATGCAAAAATCACATAGATATTACCATAAATCAATCCTAGCCATTGATTAACAACATTGCCCACAACAGCTTTATACACCCAGAGATACTAAACGGTTCGCTATCGCAGTATAAATAATGTGGTACAATACTGCACAGACACGTCATGTTATTTTAGGCTATGAGGAATGCAGGTAAATATAAGGAGTTACAACACAAAAGGCATCACTCATCAGTCATTTTAATCACGACAGCCATGTTCTTGTTTTGTTGTTGTTTTGACTCGGTACCTAATGCACTAGAAGAATACTGGACTTTCAGTTGTAACTGGTTAGGAGATCTGCGTTTAGGTGAAGATGCAAGCTGTCACTGATCAGACTGAAGTTGATAGGCCCAGTCATGCCGAAAACAGGCTCCCATTCTCACAACTCCCTCTGCGTCCTCCATCTGCCCCACATCCCTTTCTCCATCTCTTATCCAGATGCAAAGAGCAGTCAGTAAGCGGATGAGAGCAGATTTGATTCAAAAGGCTTCCCTTTAAAATCTCAGCCAGTAGGATTTAAAACTCACTCTCCTGCCTCGCCTCTTACCCTCCACCCCCCATTCTCCCTCCCCTCCCTCTGCCTCCTCTTCTCTCTGGCTGTGTTAATGCACTTCACCATCCAACAAGCTCTAGCAGTCATTTAATCACATGGAACAATGGAAGGGATCCAGGAACAGAATGGCAAAAGGGTAATAGCACGACTAAAACACTCAAGCATTCATTACAACACTCATTATCGAAGCAATTTACCATCTGGAACAAAGGCCTAAAATCCCCTGTTACCAACTTTAGGGACAATGTAGACATCAGCGGTTTAAGGTCGGACACCTATACCGTAGCTGCTGAGATGTTTGGAGCACTGCACTACTATAAAGGCCATGAATCAGCACTATCATTTTATTTCAACACATTTCAGTCCATCCTTCCATTCACTGTAAGCATTGCAGATAGATAAAGGATAGAGCCAAGTCGCAAACAATTAAAGCAAATCTCTTTCTTTCACAGAGTCACTCCCCCCTTCACTCCCTTCCTCTCCTTGTCACTTCAAACAAATTAGAAGCAAATCCACTTGGTCATGTGTTTTGACAGGGACACTCATTCAAATAGTGAGACAGAGAGAGAGAGGGATTGCTGCAGGGACGCACGCATACGATCAACACAAGTTATTCCCTCTACTCCATCAGTTTTCAAGGTAAGATAAAAGAAAATAGCATCATGACAATTAGTTCTTCACAAGAGACAAAAGTAATTTGTGATATCTGCACGTGTGCGGTTGAAGGAGGGGGTGTTGTTGTTGAGGTTGGTCTTGCTGCTTTACTATCAAGTCAATGTCATGTCTCTTTGGTTGAATCTGTAAAATCAGCTTTGTGACTCTGCCTTTTCCACTTGTGCCTTGATTACATTTGACACAGTGTATGAGTTTGTCCATTAGGTGATTGGTTTACTGCTAAAATGTGCTCGTTTAATCATGACATTATCAAATTCAATAGCCATCAACATTAGGTGACAGCTCACTGGAGTGTTAAATGGCTCAAACCACCTGTCATCTCTGAGAATTTGTTGAGAAGGGAGAGGTGAAACACTGATGACATTGTTACAGGACATACTGGTTTGTGTGTACATTCTGGGTGAGGATGTGTGCTCTCGATATAGGTGTGACATCATCTGAAGAGCAAATACTTTCGCTGTTAATAATTTCTTGCTTGAATATTCATGCAGCCTGTGTGTGTGTTTGTGTGTGCGTGTGCAGGTGTAGGTTTGTTCTGTGGGCTTCTGTGTGTGCTCCTGCGTGTTTGTGAACGTTTGCAAAGTAGACAAGGGCCAGTTTGACTTGCAAAATAGCTTACTTGGAGACTGAAGCTGGGGAGGATTAAAAATCGTCAGGTGCAGGTAAACGTCCAGCATGAAGTATTTATACAGCGAATGCTAGAACTACTGGAAAATATACGTTTTCTTGAATAATATCTTGGTAACTCATTTCTGTTTTTGTTCTCTCCCCACCTCTCTTCTTCTTCTTCTTCTTCTTCTTCTTCTTCTTCTTCTTCTTCTTCTTCTTCTTCTTCTTCTTCTTTTCAGGATTATCAGCTTTCCTGCCATCTCTCCTGTCTCCATTGGTGACAGCGCCTAACAACCATCGCCATGGGTGAAATGGAGGAATTGCGAAAGGAGGCGGAGAGTCTCAAAGACCAGATCACTGTCAGTATCATCTGTAATAAACAATGTGGCTGCCCACAGTATTCATCATTACCATTATGTGGCTTTGCTTTTCACTTTGACCTGAAGACATTTCTTCCCCAAATATTTCTGACCACATCTTAGATCAATACTGGCAGTAACCTGTATTCGTGTTTGTGTCCGCTCCTCAGGCAGCTCGTAAGACGGTGCAGGACACCACACTGCAAGAAGCAGCAGCCGGGATCACCGCGGTGGGACGCGTCCAGTTGAAGACCAGGAAAACACTAAGGGGTCACCTTGCCAAGATCTACGCTATGCACTGGGGCGCTGACTCCACGTAAATACACAGCATGTTGTACACGTATTGAAAGAGCACCGGCACCTGCCATTCTGATTGGTGTATTAGATTAGTTAAGTACTTTTTAACTGGATGAATTAATAGGAGGAGACATGTTGTGCTCCTTTCCATGTTCAAACTCAGATTTTGGGTTTCTAATAGAACACGTTCAGGCTTTAATGTTTCTCATCTCTCTGTCTGAATATACCTGTATTCACCCTCCGTCTGAACCGCTCTGTTTTAGCAAAGTTTGATGGATTTGCATTTCTGGCTCGTTTAAAGGCACAGTTTCTGAATACGGGCTTTGTGTATTTCTTTCATGGATTGAGCTTTTCAATACTTTAACAGTATTTATATAGCAGTTAGACCTGTTTCATAATAAAAAAGGACATGAAAATCTCACTTTTTACGATATGGGGCCTTTAATTGAATTTTTTTGCTTACGTGTCACCTGTCTCTGTCTCTGTTGTTTTTTTTATATCGCTGTCATTGTTACACCCCCAGGTTGTGTGTCAGTGCCTCACAAGATGGAAAACTCATAGTGTGGGACAGCATTACAACCAACAAGGTAGGAAAGAGCAAAAGAGAGGTGCATCATAAGTACAGCGATGGTAGATGAGGGTAAATGTACACCAAATGAAATCACAAATACACACACACACACACAAAGAACAAAATAAGATTAAAGGACAATGACATTATACATAATACATACATCATTTTCTGATAGGCTGTAACTAAAATGAAGAGGGTTTAATTTGAAGAGAAAAGGTAAAAACTTGGCATAAAATACTGAAATCAACAAAATGTTCAAAAGTGTCAAATCTTAATATCTTCTATAAAACTAAAGTGACTGAATAAGCAACAAGCAACAAAAACCTCTTATGTTATGTTACCAAAATGTTTCTAACTTTGGCAGAATATATTGTGTTAATGCAGGACCCTGTCGCTTACACTAAGAAGCTGATTAAGAAAATGTGTTTTTAGGGCCTTTAAATGTTTGTGGCTTACATTCAGATTCATCCATTGAAGTGCATTTGGTTTTTAGTGGTTGAAGACAAGAGTTTCACCGGTCTTCTGTCCCCCAGGTGAATGCCATCCCTCTCAAGTCATCGTGGGTGATGACTTGTGCCTATGCACCTTCGGGGAACCTAGTGGCTTGTGGCGGTCTGGACAATATGTGCTCCATTTACAACCTCAAGGGCAAGGATGGAAATGTCAAAGTCATGCGTGAGTTGGCGGCACACACAGGTAGGACAATGCAGCTCAGAAGTTAAATCTCTTGAAGTCGCTGGTGTCTCTGAGTCCTCCTTTAACTCACTTACACGACTCCTTACCTGGTATTTCTTTGTTTGCCCAGGTTACCTGTCCTGCTGTCGTTTCCTCAGTGACACTGAGATCATCACCAGCTCTGGAGACTGCACTTGGTAAGAACACAGTATGGTTAACTGAACTCAAAAGCATGTTGCAACTTTTATCTCTGTAGTTAAAACATATATAAATATTGTCTCCTTCTAGTGTGCTATGGGACATTGAGACAGGGACAGAAAAGACAATCTTTGCAGGACACCTGGGAGACTGCATGTCCCTGGCCGTGTCCCCAGATTTCAAGTTTTTCATCTCAGGAGCGTGTGACTTCACAGCCAAGCTGTGGGACATCAGGGAGGCCCAATGCAGACAGACCTTTTCGGGCCATGAGAGTGACATCAACGCAATTGGGGTGAGGATGAGAAAGATTTCCACCAGACTTCTGCATCAGAGCTCAAAGGAGGCCTAGTTTGTAATCACTTCTCTGTCTTCCAGTTCTTCCCCAATGGTAACGCAGTGATAACAGGGTCAGATGACGCCACCTGTAAACTGTACGACCTGCGAGCTGACCAGGAGCTCATCACCTACCAGGACTCCAGCATCATGTGCGGGGTCACCTCCCTGGCCCCCTCCGTGTCTGGACGCCTGTTACTGGCTGGCTATGACGACTTCAATGTCAACATCTGGGACACACTGAAATCTGAGAGAGTGGGTAAGTACAGGCGGAAATTAGAGATGTTAAGTGGTTTCAGAAACCGATTTCAAAGCATCTAAAAGTTCCAGTGTTAAATTTTTGATATTGGACGCAGTGTTCTGCATCTGGGTCATGTCAGTGGTATTTGTCAGTGGTACTTTGCTCAGCTCACATCATTATTTTTCTTTTGTGCCGTGGTCAAGGAGTGCTGGCTGGTCATGACAACAGAGTGAGCTGCATCGGAGTGTCCTCCGATGGGATGGCGTGTTGCACAGGATCCTGGGACAGCTTCCTCAAGATATGGAACTGAGGCTGTTCCTCACCAGCGAGCAGAGAGGAGTGATTATCAGTCTGGTAGAAAGTGAAGAAGATAAAAAAGAAACAAGAGTTTGAGGGGGTGGGTTGGGGGGGGGGGGTGAGGAGCTGCATAGGGCGAGAAGAGGGTATTGTAATTGTGCCAAGTCCTATCTAATGTTGGAGAGGGGTTGTAATGTGAAGATCTTCTCCTCTCACATCGCGGCCTCACCTTTCTTCTCACGTTATGGGGGAATTTAGGGGTGGGACAAGGGGTGGGGGTCTCAGTAAAAGATCATTCCTCTTAATAATTTATGATATTGCGGTTAAAATAACCATAACATATGCACATTTGTTGCAGCAATTCAGAGGTCACCCAATGAGAACAATTGCCAAATGGAAATGGTAGCACGCTGGATGAGACAGAATTGAATACGTGTCAAGTTACAGTCTGTGAAGGCTCACTCTAGCTATACTAATATGCTGTGTTTTATATCAAAGCACAAGTTATGTCGTATGAATAATATGAGCAGTTGCGTTGTTTTTGTTTCAGACTGTTTGTTCTTAGTTTTGGTAGATTCCCTAGATGCTTACATTTACATTTTCTAACTTTAATTAAAATAGAGTGCTAGTTTGCAGATGTTTAGATTAGTGTTGAGTTGTTTTGTATGTGATTGATGGACAATATTTACCAGGATTTGGGGTCTCCTCCCCCCCTCCCTTGTAGCTAGACCTGAAAAGTGCTTTGGGTAAACTGTTGCACTGACAGATGGGATAATAAAAATGGTTTTCATGGTTCACTAAGCACTTACAAAAAACAATAACCCCATTTGTCTGAGGACAGGACTATTTGTATGAGTGGTACATGGATAACAGCTATTGTATGCATATGAGCAATACAAAATGAATCTGTATGCGACCGCTTACTTTTTCCTCTGCATGGTACAAGATAAACCTCAAGGAGTTTTTGTACAGACAGAAAACATATATCCGAGTTCTGACTAGAATTTGGACTGCCTCTTTTTCCAACACTGGATACACACTGTGCAAAATAAAGCAATACTACCTTTCTTAAAGACTGTCCAATAAACATGGGATTCTGCATTACACAAGTCTTAACTGTTGATTTCTGACACGCTGAGTTCGTTAACATGTCCATATTTGAATCCCGCTGCATATGGAGTGAGGCATGAAATACTGCATCATTATAGTTATATATAAAATGTTTATATTTTGTGTCTAATTTACAGGGTTCCTCTAGTGTTTACTACAATCTAATGGTATAAATAACTGTCAAAGCGTTGTGTGAATCAAATGAAATCTTTTTAAAATATATTTATAACAAAACAAACAAACATTTAGTGTTAAGCTTTTATTCTGTTTGGGCAAAAATAAAGAACAGGAATTTTACAGTTTAGTTAAGAAATGTATTCTATAAAAAGGAATCACAATACAAAAAAGGAAAGCAAATGATAAACAGCAGAATTAGTTTACAACCAACACAAACATATAAAGCTGAAGAATGAATGCAAATCATTTTATTTATATTTACAAGAAGACAAAACAGGATAGAAAACTGCAGTAAAAAAAGGAATATACACCGAACAAAAATCTATTTAAGAAGGCTGTACACGTAAAAGCTTGTTTTAAGAGAGATAAAAGCGCTAGGATTCTGTACACGTTGCAGTGAATCATCGGTTCTCCTTATCCAGAGACACTGCCAGCACTCTGCGGTCAATCTGTCCGAGTCTCTGCTTATCTGGGGTGGACACCGTCAGCTTCGTCTGGAAAGTGGAGAGGACACGTTACGTTATCTCAGCAACTTTTTTAACTTTCTGTGTTGGAATTCAATTAACGGCAAACTAAATTACTCAACTTCACCGTAACAAGTCAATACAAGTTCAAATGAAGTTTCAGTGTATATACGGAGCATAGATATCACCAGCAGTGAGTGCATGTTTGTAAAAAACAATACCTGAGGACGTTGGCCCCGGGGTGAGTTGGTCCCCTTAAGGATCTGCAGTGGGGAGCGACCTTCAGTACCTTGAAAAGAAAGGAAACGTCAGGCAACAATCTCGTTATCTTATAAAACGAGAAGCCACAAACGTTCTACACACCTTTCTGGTTTAGTTTTCCAGACCGTCGCTTGTTCTCGTTGGTTACTTTCTTCACGGCCATGCGGACAGCAAGAGGAGAGGAGCCTCCCTTTCCACCCTGCACTCCTCTAGCTCTCAGCCCAGTGGCACCAAAACCTTTTCCCAACCACTGCGGCTTGAACACCACCTGACTGGGGCTCTTTGGGTCAAAGGTGGGGCAGCGGATGCCGGTGCTGAGCTGTGGCTGCTCTGGGCTGGGGACAGTCGGTGGCTCTGGTGCAGAAGGCAAAGAAGATCCTTCAAGAGGCTCTTTGGTTTCTTCAGAAGATGGCTCTGCTTTCTCTGACTGTGCAGGGGACACCTGAGCTGGGGAACCATCGGAATCAGTGGGGAGGGAAGGCTCAACGGGGGTCCCTGGTTCAATAGTGACAGAAGGAAGGGCATGCGAATGATCCACACCATCTCCGAGTGGCTCCACTTCTGCACTAGGCGCTGGGGATGAAATGCTGTCACGGTGCACCTCAGCTAAGATCTGGGATGAGGTCGCCCCCTCATGGCAGGTTATCAGGCTCATGCTCAGTCTCTTGTGAAGAGGAGACTCTCTTGCTTCTTCAGCCTCCTCCAGGCTAATGTCCGTCTCAGTTTCTAATTCCACCTCAAACTGGAGTTTCTCACAATGCACAAAGGGGTGCGAGTCACCCACATTTTTGATAGGGGGCTGCACAGGGGTGTCCAGGGAGGGCTGCGGAGCCAGAAGAGGCTTGGTGGAAGCCAGTTCTTCACTCTCCTCCACAGCATCCCTGAAGCATTTCTGAGGAGCTTCAGGGACTTTTCCTTCAGTCTCGTTGAGCAGAAGCATGCCGAGGCGGCGGGCAAAGGACCCAACTGTTGCTGGCGGGGCAAATGCAGGAACATCACGTTACAGGACATATTGCAGGTGAAAAAAAAAAAAGTCAAACTGAGTATTATTCTTTAATAAATAGTTACCTCTCATGACTTCTCTGGCAGGGGTGCGGCTAACGCCAACAGTAGGTGAACGTGGATCAGTGAAGGCCAGCGGACACTTGGTTTTGGGAACAAGCCCGTCGACCTATGGGAGAATATTTAATCTGGTTAATCCGTTTATAAGTGCTCGCCCACAAATTACAGTATGTCTGAAAGCAAGTCAGCCAGGTAACCTACCTGAATGGGCGTACGATCAACCGCTGTTGAAGGAGAGCGTGGATCTATCAGATCAGTGACCCGGCAGTTTTTGATTTCTGGTTCTGGTTTTATTGGGGCAGTCACCATCTTACTCTCACTGGATCCCATGATGCTATTTTACCTGGATCACAGGTAAATAGAACATAATAAAATACACTTTTAATGTCTCCCAGAGCAGTATCATAAAAGTAACAACAAATACTGTAACAAAACACAATCAAAGTATAAAACACAGTACACTAGTGTAGAATACAGAGGATTATTGAAGGATTAATGCCAAAAAACGCATTTCATACAATGAAAAACATGCCTTACTGACTTTTAACTATGCAATTTCATAAGGGCAGAAGCTGAAAATGAAAGATGTAACATGTGCACGTTAACAGATAGCTAACGTTAGCTTAGCTAATGTCAGTTAGGGTGAGGTTTCCCCATTTAGTGAGCGTTATTTCTTATATTCACATGTAACTGTAACGTTGTGATACAACATGGTCATACATTTGATAGAGTGTAGACTACTCAAGTGTACAGTTTAGAAAACAGTCTCTGGCTTACCTAACACGAGACGAAGACAGTCGATCAGGCGTGTCGCAGGACTTCTTTTCACTTATTCCACAGTCCTCACTCGTGATAAACAGGGGAACACACAAGACTTTTAAAACATTTAAATGGCGGGTTGCGTACGTGTTATTTTTGAACGAGCCAATCAACGCCGGCGTTCTCTCCGCCTCCTCGACGCTGATTGGCTTAGAGTACGTCGTTCTAGAACTGGGCGTGGTGACTCGCAGATAACACATTTTGAAATTTCAAATGAATGCTTTGTTTTTGTCACGAGGGGAGAAAAATGAAATGCCGTGCCTCCATATTCAAACTGCCTCGAAAAGAAATGACAGTTGTTAGGGAAATCAGGGAGAACAAAGCGCAATAATATATCATGAATAGATTTTTCTACATTATTTGCGGAAATGTAGTTTGGAAACGATGCAATATTATGTTTTACAAAAAAACAGAAATTTACCTACATATGAAGGCTGCAGTGTCACTCCCGAATATTCACAGACTTTTCTGTACAGTGTCTAGTTATATTATAATAAATATAACCATTCAAATATATATTTATTCATATATAAATATGTATTTATTTATATATATTATATATAAAAACAGTTTTTTTCCAGGAATATTACCACAGACTACATGATATTGTATATTACAATACTTTCAGTGTTACTCTATCACCATTGTGTTACCAGACATCTATTTCAATGAAAATCTCAGAAGATGCCACTTTAAAGGTCTGTCATATTTCAGCTCACAATTAATTTGTTTCCTATTTCCTAGATTTACAATTTCCATTTTAATTTACCACTTAAATTCAGAGATTTAGTTTCATTGTATTTATAATTGAACTCTACAAAATATCTGGTGGCATATGCCAGCCTCCATATATAAATTGACATATTAACTTAAAATAATTAATTTAAACAGGTATATTATCTTTATTCTTAAGTAAATGCTTTACAGCTGTAAGTGAAAAGTATATTTTCTTATATTAACGTCATTATTATTACTACATAAAATGTTTTATTTTCATTTGTTTCTTTTCAGCTCTCAATACTTTTTTGTGTCAGCCATTTTGTTTATTTTTTCAGAAATAAAATGACTTCCAGATGATTGGAATCAAAGCTTTATTGCTGAATATTATATTAAACATTGCAGTCAGGATACAACTAGCCTGAACACAATTATAGTGCAACAATTATGTTACAATACACAATATGGCATATAGCATTATTTTACAACCAAGCAAATTGTTCTACAAGAGAGATATGAAAAAGAGCAAGAGAAGGGAGGAGCCCAGAGAAATCATTGTCAATGATAGTACAATTATATGATCTTATTATCAGCGCAATGCACAATTAAATCCCCCACCCGATCCAAAACGCGCGCACACACACACACACACACACACACACACACACACACACACACACACCTTACCAAAACAGTAACAGTCCCACTGGTTTTCAGTTCATTATCCTGGTTGATAATTGATTACTAAAAAATTAAATAACGTATTAAAAAAAAACAAAAAAAAAAAAGAGAAAGAAAAAAGTGTTTGTACTCTGGAGCGGCCTAATCCTTCTATTGGGAGCACTTTTGATGAAAAGCTGTACTCTTTTCAATATTGTACCTTTAATCTACATAACCGTAGTGAGTATACAGATACAACCTACAACCTGCTGTTGAGAAAGACGGTGAGAACGTTGAGTGTAATGATAAACTGTCCACATCATTATTAATCATTTACTTTCTTCATTGAGGACAAATTTCATATCAACAACAAAAGTGACATTGAACCCAGTTCTGCAGATCAACAGAGCAAGATGAAATATGAGGACTCTCAAACATGTAAAATACAGCGATGACACCGTATTGCTGCTGGCTGCGTCTTCCAGGGAGAGACTAATACTGCAATGTTTGATAGAAGTCATTCAAGCGCACATAACCACGAGATGATGTCTCTAGGACGGTGGATAATTCACAGTGTCTTCCTCGTCTGTTTCTCTGTAACCGTCACCGCTCTGATTCCTCTTCGCTTCATTCAGTCCACCCAGACATTTACCTCCCAGCAAAACACACTCGCACTCGATAAGCCCCCCCCTGGCTGGCCCTCATTCTGTCCCACCGTCCACCTCTCTCTGGGAGAAGTGAGCCAGCAACGTGTCCAAGTCCCGGCAGTCTGCTGCAGCGTACAGAGGGCTCTCTCCCATCATGCTGAGAGCCATGCGCAAGGTGGACCAGATGTTGTCAGACATCATGGTGGCTGCGACTCCTCCAGGTCCCCTCGCAGCTCTTGCTCCGTCCCCGGAGGCCTGGCGCTGTAGAGATAGAGCTTCAAGGAAGTGCTCCACCGCCTCTCTGAGGATGAAGGAGAGAGAAAGCTTATTTAGCTGGATTATCTTTTATATTTAATTTAAATAAACCAATACTACTTTTCCTAATTACTTTGAGCCCATTATCTACCCTCCGATATATAAATGGGGTGGACAAAATATAAGAAACTCTCAGTTAACGTCAATCTACTAACCAAAGAATGTGTCCCTCACCTGTGTGCCCCTAAATTGACACAGCTGATTCCCAAGTTGTAGCGACTGCGTATGAAACCGGGCTGCAGCTCCAGAGCTCTCCTGTAGGCGGCCACAGCCTCCTCTGAGCGGCTGCCGTTGGCGAGTGTGGCCCCCAACTTATTCCACAGCAGGTAGTCCTGATGGAGACGGAAGACACACACAAAAAAAGGAAGCGCTCAGAAACAGAGCATGCAGTGTGAAGACCGACGTTCGTATCTCAGCACTGGCTTCTACACTAACCTGTGGCGTGACGGACAGAGCAGCGCTGAAACAGTCCACCGCCTTGTCGTACTCCCCGCTGAGGTTGAAGAGAACTCCCAGACCACACTGCAGCTGGGGGTCCACCTGGGCAGGGTCGGAGTTGGCTGCTTGCAGGAAGAGGGACTGAACATCTGTAAACAAAGATCTGTGCAGGAAAAACAAAACAAAAAGAAAGAGGTGAAGAGTTAAAAGATGAAGTTTACACAATACATGAAAAACACTTCAGAATGACTTAGTAATTAGTGCGATACTCACTCTGGCAGCAGTGAGCCGAACCGCTCTCTCTCCTTCTCCCTTTCTGTGGCACCTTCCTGCTGGTGTTCACCCTCATTCTGCTCCCACACAGAACGGAATTTCGGGTTGTGCTTTAGCCAATCACGAAGAGTCTCACAGGCCTGCCTATGCAGCGATTCATTAGTGAAACTGACAGCCAACGCCATCAGAGCGGTCAGGTTGTCGTTCTTCAGCTCTATACATCTAATGAAAGAATAGTCAGAGAAAGGAACAATGACATGTTAGAAATGGTCAAATGCTTAATTAATGAGGTCTAATTTTACTGTTAACATTTATGGATAAAGGGGGAACTGGAAAAGGTGGTGACCACAGACACACACGCTATACATATCTATACATATATCTCCTCATTTAGACTTATTGAGTATCATAACATTCACAGTTTAACAATGTCTGCAAAAAAATTATAAAAAATAATATATGTGTATATAAATATAAACTGAACTGTAACTACCCATCAAACGCTAATGTACAACTTTAATTTGCATCTGAAGTGACGAGCATTTTGCAATTCTAAGTTCTAAGTTCCAACCTGCGGAGGGCGCTGATGGCGGCAAATTCCTGCTCGTTCTCCGCCTGACAGGTTCCCAGATATTGCCAAGCCTGCAATTTAATGAAAATAAATGTACACACACACCACAGCGTCATTACAACTGCCCTCTGTGGGGAGACAGACGTGAGTTCCCTTACAAGTAAGGAGACTTTTTGGATTGCTTTTTATAAATACGACGGTGAAATACTGATAAATGCAAATGAAGCCATAGGCTTATAAAATCTCACCAGCTGGTTATCTGGTTCTTTTTGTACAGCACTTTCAAAGAAGCGTACAGCACCAGGGATGTCCCCCGCCTCCATCCTCTTCACTCCCTCTGACAAAGGGTCAGGGTTGGATAAATAGGGGTTGTCCTCTTCAAACTGATACCCCTGAGACAAACACAAGAGAGATATGGAGAAAACACTTCTTTATGAACTGTTCCAACAGAGGATCCTGCAGAATCAAATGAAACGCTGCAATGCACTGTACGTCACGTCCTTTTATACATCCAGTAGAGCTGTATGGGCAAAAATGCTGAAACCATGTAAACTGTTGTGAGCAGGTTGACAGCTACCTTGTCGTAGGAAGTGCTGAGCAGCTGATCGAAGTCAGACAGCCAGGGGTGGCTCTCTGCGTCCCTCTTAGCCATCTCCTCCCACTCCTGCTGCAGCTTCTCCCAGAAATCCACGTCACTCTGACAAAAAAACAGATGCACATCATTACTTCAGTCTCATCACATCATACATCATCCTGTATTGTAGACAGATTTTACCGTTAAAGGAGACCAGTGGTTTGTTGTTTGGACACAGAGCGCTGTAACCTCTCCGTTACCACTGCTCCCATTTAATATCCATTATTAGCTTTGTTTTTAGACTTTAAGTTGTCCCTGATTCTTGTCTCACCTCCACTGCAGCTTTAGCGTGTTGGAAATCTGGTCCCGATGTGGCAAACTCATCTACCCAGGCTTCAGCCGAGTCCTGTGACACCTGAAGAACAATGAGGAGCAATGACAGTGGTTGACCTCAGTCAGCAAGGGCTGCCTATGAAAATTGTTATTAGAGCAGAGGACGGGGACATTAAAACAATAAAAACATAAGAGGGAAGTGAATGGAAAGGAGATGAAAGAAGAAGAAACACAGAAAAGGCTATTTTTCTCTCATGCCTTTCTAACAATTCTTCCTACTGAACCTCGGGTTTATTAATCAGATAGAAAAATGACTCTACAGCAACACAATAGTGAAATGCTGCGTGTATCTTACCGTTTATGTGTAGGACAAAACTCTACAACACTAGTAGCAAAACTTATCTTACTGCATTAACTGCACGACCACAGAGGTCCTACCTGCCTGATGACCGTGGCCCACTGCTCTGCTTGTTTAGCTTTAACTTTGTCAATCTTCTCATTCCTCTCTGGGGCTTCCAGGGGAAGACTCCCTCCCCCCGTCTCCATCAGGAACTATGGCATGAGGCGAGGAGGGGTGGCGGTGGCAGTGGGGAATGGGGCAATGTTATGAGGAGGACGGAGCAATTGGTGAGGAGGGTTTGTATTTGGAGGGGTGGGCAGAGTAGGATTCATTTAAGTAGGAGGAGGAATGGATGAATGGTGGTTGTTAATTGATTAATTAAGGCAAGCCAAGAGTTCAAAGGCAGGTCAAAAAATGGGAAAAGTACATGTCAGAGTTAGAGGGTAATTAAGTACAATGGAGCCATGGTGATTAGATATTCATCAAGAACAGTACTGAGAGCTACGCATGCACAGTTCAATATGGACGCCATTTTCAGCCAGGATAAGAAAAAAACAATAAAAGACAAAAAGTTTGGAATGATAAAAATAAAAGTAAAAGGTAAGAAATGTTCTTACTATTTCATAGAAAAAAATAATTTACTGTAAAAATTATGAAATACATCATGAAATGCAAAGTGTATACAAAAATGTAATATTTACACCAACTATCTTAAAACTTGACTATTTCATAGAAAATAAGTAAAACTCTTAGAAATTATAAGATTATTAGTAAAATATTAGATTTATTAAATCAACAGTATTAAACAAATTATGTATTGGTAAGAAAAATGCTGCGCATCATTTTTTTTTTTTTAATAGTATTTTTAATTTTGTTATTCTGACTTTCAACTTTTTGTTTCTTTTCTTGGCAGAAATAGTTTTGTGATTACAGGGGAAAATCTAGTAAAAATCCAAAATCTGGCATCAGCCTGAACTGTATGAAGAAACTACTCACAACCTCAGTAAAATCAATAACTGAAGTAAAACTGAATCAAGGTGGAATAACCAGAGCTTGATTGTGCACAAGACGTAATGCAGAAGAAGAGAAGCAGATAGTCGTAAGAGTCCTCTCATTGCTGAACAAATTCCATCTGCAACGCTGTGCAGCGTGGAGCTTCATGTTTCAATGTAGCGGCTGCTTTTGGTTACATTCGTGGAAAATGTTACTCTGCATCAGCTACTGGGGTGATGAGTCACAAGACATCGTCTATACTGTGCAATAGCGAACCACTGTGCCTCCCCAAATTGTTCCCAGTGGCAACCAACCCCCTCCTCAATGGGCAGCGACTCGTACCTGGTTGACGTTGGAGGCCCAGTTCTGAGCCTCCTCGGCCTGAGCTTTATCTTTGAGCTGTTTGTCTGTCCTGCTCTCCACTGTCACACTGCCCTCGCCAATCTGCCTAATGAATCGCAGGAACTACACAACGGAAAACAAACAAACATGAGAACAAAAAAGGCATTTTACCATTACCATTCGGTCAGATATATACTAATATACTGCTTGTTCCTTTCCAAACCAGCAACTTTCTATCCAAACTAAAGCAATGACCTCATCAGTGTTACCAATGCACTATGCTCCCGAGAAACTTCTCTACAAAAAGTGTCAAAGAGAAAGCGAAAGGATATGGTGATAGAGGATAAATGATCCAATGAATGAGTGATGTGGACGTGAACACACTGCTCACCTCAGTGTTTTGTAACTTGGGGTCATCAACCTTTGAGACGAGCTCATTGGCTGTCTGCTTCAGCTCCTCCCCTGGTTGATACTCCTTCGTCCTATCACATTAACAAGCAAACGTTAACATCATACTGTAAGGAGTTGCACGATTAGAAGGAAGCGTTCTATTTCATTCAGCATATGAAGGCTGGAACAACTCAATTCAGGCTGAAGGCTGTACAGGTCAGTGCACTATGTCGATGATTAGACATCAAGGACGGACTGAACCAAGTTAAAAATCGGATTCAATTTAAATTCAACACACACATCCACCCAACAAGTAGACAAGAAAAACATGATGAAGGTTCATATTATCCTTTGTCCACCTGTGCTCCTATTATCATTTAGTCTGGCCTTCGCTCAACGTTCATTAAAGTCTGCCTGAAGCCTTTTTTTCAACCGCAAACTTTCATCTCTCTGTATCCGTGTCCTGTTCTAACCATTCCTTCTCCTGGTCTCCAAGGTCTCCCAGCCACAGCTTCTCCTCTGACTGTTCCAGGTACTCCTCCGCCCAGCGTCCGGGATCTGGAGCAGAGCAGTGAGTAAATGAGGAAAAACACAGCGGATAGGCACATTATTAAAAAAGAAGTACACACAATGCAAAAATTAAAGGATTTATCAAAGGCAAGTTTGCTCTGATGTCAGTAAAGATTGATGACATCTGACTGACTGATGATGACTGCATAAAAATAGAGTGCTCATTACGTTTAGTTCACACTACACAACTTCGGCCCTTATTTTCCACTCGCCGACAGTTCTTGGAGCTCCTGGACAAAATCCCCAGATCAGAGGCAAATCTGCGTTGTTTGGCGCTCAGACGCATTCCAGATATCTAGCATGCCAAATATCTGGATCTGTCGGGGAGTGCAAGACACGGGTTGATGGGAAAACCTGGCAGAGGGGTCGCCTCGCCTGTAGCCCACGTGTGTGTGATACATAATACATAACACAGTGACTGATCTACATAGAGGGAAATAGTTAAGAGGCGCTATCATGAGAACATGTGTGCCAACGACAACACCATCGAGCATGATTACGCTACGCCCGTGTCATTTCTCACATGTGATTTAGAGATCTCATCTGGGTTTCCAGATAAAGGAGCTTGTAGAGTGTGAGCCCCTGACGCCATCAGTGTGTGAACGGTACAGAGATTTGATGACTTTAAAGTCGTGTAGTGTGAACTTGGCTTCTTTAGGCAAAGTGTGTGTCCAGAGTGAAACATAGGAGCGCCAAAAATAAACGATAAAGTCAAAATACCTGCCGCCTCAGCAATAAATTCTTTCGTCCAATCAGCATCTGCTGCATCACCAAGCGCGCTGATCCCCGGAGCGGAGGCAGAGTCAGGACCGGAGAGGAACTCGGCCGTCCAATCACCAGAGAGGGCCAAAGCCGCCACATCTGGAGCTATGACATGTAAAATATGTCAGTAAAATATGTGGTGCTTAAAATGTTGAAAAGCATTTGTGCACAGACTTAGGCCCAAGCCAGACAAACACCTAAAACTGCAATGCAGAATACATGAGAAAGACTAATAATAATCAAGTGCACCTCTCTGTGGAGCTTGTCTGTAGCTCTGCTGGTCAATCTGCTGCATTTCCTCCAACAGCTGACCCATGTCAAATGTGTGTGGGGGTCGGGGGGGCGCCTGAAGGAACTCATTCACCAGCTGCAGCAAAATTAAAACATGATATTACTGTATTAAGAAGTTGCACCCGGTATACACAGAGTTACACACCTGAGAGACTTGAATTAAAACATTACACAGAATCACAGTCAACACAATATGTAAAGGAACACAAGCGCTGACCTCTTCTTCAGTTGCAATTTCGATGGGAGAGGGGGCAATCTGAGGAAACGAGAAGGAAACGAGAAGGAAACAACGAGGTCAGAGAACAACTCGTGTCATTTCAGGATAACACTGAAACTATTTAGCTGATGAATTCAGCTCTTTGAACCATTAACGGTTGTGTGTGCAAATCACTCACTGTGGGTGTTGAGCGGTGCCGCCATGCTCCCCCTTCCTTGGTCATGTGACTGGTCAACTTCATAAGGGGATTGGCCCCCCCACACTCTGCCTCCACCAACTCCCGCATCGCCATGGCAACACAAGGACGAGGCAAACTCAAATCAGACCACCTGAGAACTGAGGAGAGGAATGAACGGATGAATTACTGCATTTGGACAATCTGCACAAAATTCAGCAAAGTTAATGGAATCATTCATTCAAAGTGAATCACCTTCTGCCGACTCTACATATTTAAAATGTCCAACGTGTCCACGCAGCGCAGCACAGTCACATAACCAAACTCAAGCTCCATCTGCTGTTGTCTGTGTCATTTCCTGGCTTAGGTTGAACCATTAATAATGTGGACACGATGGCCCAGCAGGCACATCCATTCACTGCATATTTCACTCCGCTGGTCGAGGAAATTCAGAGGATTTAAGCTTGTAACTGCATGCAATGTCGTCCTTGCAACAACAAAAATGCTATTATGGCCCTATTGTTATAACCAACATCACAGATTATTATTACTATCATACAGGGCTGAGTATCGGACCAAAATACTTTGTTGGTACCGAGCAAAGAAATACACGAGCACCAAATATCAAAAACTGTCCAGTACTGAAAGTTGCTATCAAATTCTGTTATCTTGTTTATTTATTTTTAAATATAAATACAAAAAGTCACAGTTTTGGCATGGTTCTGGTGCAAAAACATTTACTCTACAAATATGACTTGAAATTAAGAATTTCGCCCAACTACCTGTTGTTATTCCCAAGTAAGGTACTGAACGAATTAGTTTGAAGTTTTGGTATCTGTACGCCAATTTATAAGACAACCAGACCTGGTGTCGTGTAATCAATAGGATATTGATATTAGGTGCTAGCTAGATGATCACTCACCTGACCCTCAAAAAGCAAAACAATAACAAAAATCTTTAAGACAATGATTCAGTCTCAATCTGCAAACCCTGAGAATAAGATGTGGTCCAAGAGGAAAGCGTGCTGCTCATCTCACTGACCTACATCCAGGATGAACAGCTGACAAACTCAACTTCTCAATCCCCCCTGAAGGGACACGTAATGGTTACACTTTCCATAATGAAGTGTCAGGAATAGAAATTTAATTTCCCCATCTTCTCCACTCTAGTCTACTCTATTCCACTGTAGCGATGTTCACTTAAAAACATGACAGAACATATTAGAGTCCACTCTACAGGTGGACTATCACTCCTATAGTCTCTCTAGGCTACAGATTTAAGAGCAATTTATTCCTACTGATTCAAAGAGCCGCTATACTGTATGATGATTAGGGTCAAAGTAAGAGGATTAGACACAGATATTAATACACACACACTGTCACAGACAGGACACTTGATCACCTTACTGTTTAATAAGCCTACTGAGTGCATTGACCGTGGAAGGTGTGTGTGTGTGTGTGTGTGTTGTTGTTGTTGTTGTTCCTGCATATTAACACATATTCCACTTTTATTGTGTAAATAACTTCAGTTATAGTAAAATATTCCCATGTGGACCACTGAAATCAAGCCACTGCGAGCATTTTAAGATTTTAAGTGTCAACCTGCTGTCACGTGTCAAACCAGGTAACTGATTTGGAGCAGTGTGCACGCTGAAGGCATTGTTTTTGCCCCGATGCTAACTGTGGCTTCAGTCACAAACAGCAACATTAGCTCAGTCAATGTTACTCGGAGTATCTCTTATAATACAGCAGACACGCTGTTCGTTAAATGGCAAATCAAACAAGACGATTTAAAAGCACTAACGGTCCGTTTCTCTCAACAGTAGCGAGTGTAGCTAGCGTTAGCCCAATGAGCTAGCTACTGGAGGGCCAGTGCAGAGATTGTATGCAGCCAGAGAGGCACGAAGAGACGGGTAGCATGATGTTCATCTCACCGCCGACCTGCTGCTGCTGCTGCTGCTGCTGCTGCTGTAGCCGAACCGACAGTCCCTCCTCTCCGGTCCGTCCTCTCCAACCGTAACACAGCAAAAAGTTGCCGCAGTGTGAAACCTCCCCCGGTAAACCGTCTGAAACCAGCCGCTGTGTGTTGTTAGCGCGTCTCCTTTATTTACCTTCCTCCTCCATGACCCACAAAACCCTTCACTGATCGCAAGGATTGTCTCGTAACGTTACGTTGGTTTCGTATTCTCTAACGGTTTTTACGTAAGAAGATGTCACGGCTTGAGAAAAAAAATAATACGTAACGTAGAAGGTTTTACGTAAAGTACATATTGCGCAGGAGATCAGAGTCCGTCAAATCAGGAGTGTGGGTTCAAAAACACCTTTATCCACGGAAAACATTCGCAGTAAAATCTAGATTTTATATACGTTCTGTATACTCATACAATGTGTATAATAGCAACTTGTGAAAGTCTTGTATGTAACATTTGACGTAAATTTAAGTGTGCAGGTAACGAAATGCAGCCTACTTTTCAAGTGTGGAAGTACCATGAGAAGTACTCTTTGACAGTGTTTTATTTATGTTATGCACGTACTGGGAGGAATATAATTAGATCTAATTTCCTAAGTTGCCTGCTGCACTTAAGTACAATTTTGAGTTTTTACAGGTTAGAAATGTTGCCCAAAACCATATTATCTTATAAAATACAATGCAATGTTACAAAGCTGCCCAAAAAGTTGTTGAAATTAGCTTCACATCAAACAGCTGCAACATTATAATACTACACTTACAAATATATGCATCAATAATCACATGTAGTAATATCAATCTTGACAACTTTGCATAATGAGCACTTGCACTTTTGATAATTGAAGTATATACTGCTGCTGCTAATACATTTGTGCTTTAATTTAATGACGTGCATTTTGTGAACGCAGTAGTTTTAATTGTGAAGGAGTGTTTGTAGTCAATACTGTCAGCCTACTTGTACTTAAGGATCTGAATACTACTTCAAACACTGATTATATATTGTAATATAAGATTATTGTTAAACTGGTGGAGGTGGAGTTTGTTTTAACTACTTTATTTACTGTTGATTAGTTAAATCTAAAACGTTGCTTTAGATTTTATTAGAATGTTATGTTTTGTACATCAAACTGTAAAGTAACTGAGTAACTCCAGCTGTAGGATAAATGTTGTGCAGTAAAATGTATATTTCCTACTGAAATGTAAGTAGATGGGTAAAGTAGCATAAAAAGTACAAGTTTAAAAAGTTTACTCATGTGCAATAGTTAGTTGTATTAGACTAGCGGAGACAGTATGGTTGTAATGTGTAACAGTGAATTGGTTCTTGGTCTGATCATAAGAAATCAACATTTTATGTGATTCTTCCAGGTTTCATATATGACCTCAATTTTAAAATTATAGCGTTATTTCAGTATCTACTCTAACAAGAAAGCTCTCTCGTGGAGACGTCATAGTGTTTTTATTATGAATTTTGTTGTTTTCTGACAGTTCTCAATAACAATTAGTCAGCATTATCCATGTCATCATTGTATCAATAATTACAGGTAATGTTCCAATAGTAACATAGTAATAATATACGTTATTAATCAATGCAATGTTTATTCCTTCTTAACATCACACTCAAAAACAACAGGCTTTATTTACTGACAGGTTTAGCACTGCACATTGATAGGCTACACAGACAGACAGCAAGAGACACAGAGGGAGAGTGAGGGAGAGGTGAGCGAGAAAGACAGGGAGGCAGAAGGGGAGGTGAGGAAAAGCACACAGTTGTATTCATTAAACCGAATATACCGGATGAAGGGAAATTGAAAAGAAATTAAAGGTTCAGTTTTGAAATGAGTTAAAGATGAAATGAGTGAGACATATCTAAGTATCACAACTATGTGCCCTCCTTTTTCTGTGATTCAGATATTGACAAATTCTTAAATTACAACAATATTACACACAAATTAATAGACACTCATCAAGTCAGGGATTATCATCCGTATCACTACTACTATTATTATTATTATCATCATCATACTGTTTTCTGATGCTGTAAAGGTGATTACTGAAATGAAAAAGGTAAATCATAATCTGCTCCCTCTCAAAGTGTGCAGAAGAAGAGTGGCTGCAATAATAATAGTAATAACAATAATATAATATTCATCATTGTATGTACAGAAAATTCATTACAATCAATACAATCAAAACTGCCCAAGCTGAGCTGACATTCTGGAAACAGCAGGGGTAGCACTATGGTGTGTGTGTGTGTGTGTGTCTTTGTGTGTGATTGCATGTGACGTCTTGCAGTTATTGTAAGAGCAGTGTGCAGTAAGTGAAACAGTGCAGTGAGAGTCATTTAGAGACATTCCAACGGTCACCGTGGCGGGGTCAGAGGTGAGGTTCGACCAGGTTTACTGTAGATGTTGATGTTTTGTCATTTAGCGGCACAAGCTGAGACTTTGCAACGACTCCTGACTCAACACCTGGAGGCTTTAGCTCTGCATCTGGGTATTGCATAAGTAACAACTTGCGTAAACGGTGAGGTGTGTGGTTGATAGTCCTCAAACCTTCTCATTTTATCATCAGCCCCACGTAAAATAGCCGAAGCACTAAAATAGCCACAATACCAAAAGAAAAATACCTGCAAGCGTAATGTTTTTAAGCTTTTGAGAAGAGTGACCGTACTGCCTGACCTCACTGTCTTCACTCTGGGGTTAACGGTGGTCGAGGAATGTGTCGAGAGAGGATGCAAAGGGGGAGAAAAGAGCTTGTGCAGAGACTTCTCGAGTCGAGTCTAATAGGGGACGTGTCGGGATCATGTCTTTGCCTACTCATCTATTCAAGGCCTGCATGTTGCGGATTGCACCTGTATTCATTTTGTGAAGATTTCATTCTGTGTTCAATAACAAAAGATAGAATACAATCTTTTTTTTTTTTTTTAAACAAAAGCAGTCTCATTCAACCAGTATTACACTGTACAGACACAATACCATCTTGTGATCGAGAACTGGTGCACCACATACAATTTTGGTGGGGTTTGCTCAGGCGGTTAACTTACATTAAATGTATACATTGTGCCATTGAACATTTAGGTGGAGAACAACTGCCCATTGTTGGCTATAGGTCACATATGGCGTTGAGTGTCAATAAGTGTTATTACAGTGACTGTGTTGTGCGTAGTGTTTGTAAGCATACATTCCTAAAGTAGTAGTGTCAGCAGTCGTTGATATTAAAAGTGTTGGAGTGTGTGAGCCGGTTGGTGGTTTCCATGAGAACTGGTGCGGAGACTCAGTAGCGGCGGGCGTTGCCGTCCTTCCCCTCCTTCTTTATGATGATTCGCTGGTCGTCGCCAGCGTCTTCAGGTGACTCTGCTACCTCCTCGTCCTCCTCCCCCTCCCCCTCTGTGTCAGCAGAGATGCCCATACGAGACTCGTAGGACTGTGGGAAAGAGCCGTTTGTGGGTGAAAACAGGAGCTCGACAGGTGCGGCCATTTATTACCATCACATCAATGACTTATCGGGTTTTTTACCTCCATGGGGTTGACGATGATGGTGAGGGCAGAGTCGTCCCATTGGCTGCTACCCTCCTTAGCTCCGCCACCAGCACCCTCACCGCGGCGATGGATGGAGCGAATTCGGAAAACGCCGAGGATCACCATGACAACCAGGAAACCCACACACACCATGATGATGACCGTGGCTGCTCCTGGCACCACTGTAGCAAAACAAGGGATGATCGTGTTTAGTAAAATAATTTAAACTATGAATCAGGTGATATTCTATATTCCTCTTATTGTTGACAAATCATTAAAATACCACAACCAGCAATGGACTGAATGACCACCGTTTCATTATTAGAGTATTACGTAATCCACGGCTGAAAATAGTCTCCGACAAATGCACTGTTTAGTCCTGTGTGAGTAATCATTTAGCGTCTTTCAGCTTTTGGAAAATTCTACCTAATTTTCCTTCATATGTGTAAAGTAAACTCTCAGGAATGCCTTTATTTCACCACCATGTGAAACATTTGTAGACTATAACAAATAACTAAATGCCTTTGAGTTTATTAGAAGCCACTTACCAACTACGTTTGAAAAATAGCACAATTATCCAAACTAACCATATCCTTAAAGGAAAATGTGCTGGGGTGTTGGACTGTGTGGGTAAAATGATTAAACCTGACAATCCTTTCTGCTGTGTAGCTGCTGCATCAATATAAACAGTAGAGGTGCAGCAGACCAAAACACAATTTTTGGTTACACTGCCCCACCGTGCACACTGTTCTTTACACTGGCCCCACAGTCTTGAGATTACTTAGCTCTGCATGGCCAGGCACCTGCCTGCATTTTTGTTCTGCTGCAGTCCTTTTAACCAGTAGGTCTCTGAGGTCTTTTGATTAAGGTTTGTGGGTTGTTCCTCGCTCCAGGCCTGAAACTAAAGACGATCATGCCTCTGAGGCTCCTAAACCTTGAAAGGCTCTTCCTTTGTACTTAAGAGTCTCTGTGGAGTTTTTTTGTACAAACAAAATGTATGTTTGCATTCAGTTGTTCTCCAAAACTAACTGTATGCATCCTTGAGGTCTAACAAACAAGTCAAGTAAACTCCCTTGCTCATAAAAAAAGAGCAAAGCGTTTTTATCAAGTATTTTAAATTCTAAATGTGTATTAGCTTGCAGTCTTTTTCTTCCCCATCTTTGCTGGCGCATAGCAGCATATCTTGGCGTGTCACCGCCAGCTATTGATTAGTGGAATACTGTGACACCATTGGAAGGACTATATATCACGCCACCCATGCGTGTGCACCATAAACTGTAGGAAATATGCACTTAGTCTTCGTGACATCAGCCATAGGTTTCTGAAGAGCCGTTGTAAAGCTCAAAGCGAGTGGCTCCGGCCGTCGCCATCTTGGCAGTGACAACACAGTCTAACACCCAGCTAATCCAAAAATGAACCGAGAGGTGGATCGGAGC